TCTGTTAGGATCCCTGGGTCTCTTGTCTGTTTCCCCTGTCTGTGTTTGTTTTCCAGGGCGTGGCTCTCTGGTCACCCTCCTCCTCCTACCTGAGTTTTCCCTCCACATATCAAGCACACCTGAGATCAATCTGACTCCTGCTGCTTATAAACCCTGGTTCTTCACTTCAGTCTTCGTCAGATCGTCCCTGTGCCAACACGATGCTCGAGCTCTTGACCCCTTTTGCTCTTTTTGAAACCTTTTACTGGATTTTGCTGACTTTGTCTCTCCTGTGCCTCGATACCAGTCCATTCCCTCTGTTTGTCAGCCGCACCCTGGAAATCTGCTATTGTGTTTTTTGAGGACTCAGCTAAAAGACCTACCTGCCCGCTCCTCCATCAAGTTTTGTTTCAGTTTTTCCTCTACAATAAACTGTACTAGTCCTTTTAACTAACATTTTGGGTCCTTAAACCAGTTAATTATAAGACACTCAGGAGCTGAGAGGAGTGATACAACTGAAGGACAAAGATACACCGCACATAAAAAAGACATGTTATTTTGATGGTTTTGAAATTTTGCAATTTTTTTGATAAGAGTCTACTTTTTTAAAGCAATCTCTAACATTCTTTTTCCAATCACATTTCAAAATTCCAAATATAATTAGCACAACATCCGTCTGTTGTGGACCCTACAATTAACACAATTCATGGTGTCTTCACAGAATATGCAGTTAGGTAGCATGTTTTTAAAATGCTTAAATTTTCTTTACATACGAGTTTAACAGATACTAAAATTACAGAGCTTTCTTGTCTTATTTACAAATGCTGCAATATAGTATAAATCCTCTACATCTGCAACAACAGCAGCTCGACAGCTGTGCTGAATTAGCTGATAAGCATATTTGAGAGTGAGCTTCAGTTGTGTGAAATAGATCCTCCACAGCAGACTCTAGCTCCTTTTACACTGCCAGATTTTCAGCGAATGTTGGGCTGTTTTGCCGGAAAGCTGCAAGCGTTTAGACACACAGAGCCGGATTGGAGAGTTGATCCGAGGTGCCCAATTTTCCCCCTCGTAGGGTAGACATATTGGTGGAACCCTTTTGGTTTAAACAGAACGAGGCGGCCTTCTGCCACGGGTGGAGCTGTTGATGACTTGTGGGAGGAGCTGTTGATGACGCCGCACGTGCGAGCCACTGGCGGTGGATAAACAGGAAACAGCTGATAGCAGGAATTAGCGAGCAGCTAGTAGCAAGTGGGAAACACAAACCTGACAGACACTGTAAAGATGAGCAACTGGGGAGACAAGGAATTGCGCGCCCTCCTTGTCCTCACAAACAAAGAGGCCATTAACCGTCAGATGACGGGGACGGTGAAGGACGGGCCGACTTACGAGAGAATCACCGAAGGACTGACCAGCCGCGGCTTCCCTCCCACGTCACTGTTTACGTCACACACTGAGCTACACGTTTTGTTACTTGCTCACGCCCCCCATTGCCCCGAAAAAGGCACATTCTGTATAAACAAAAGTAGGCAGGCGGCATTTTGCTGCACTCCCCGATTTTGTTTTTATACTGCCAATGCTGAAAAAAAACTGATTGGGCTTTCCTGCAAATTTGCACAACTCCTGTTTAAAAAGGGCTTTAGACAGGTGTTGTAGTTCTTTTAATTATATGGACATACGCAGGGAAACGGGGACTTTTTGGATTGATTTTGTTCAATGTGGATATATAATAACGGAGGAGATAAAATAGTTTAGATCCATTAGAACACCATTTGATGAGGACTGTGACTTTTTTTCTGAACATTGTTACTGTATTTGTGTATTTTATTTTTTGAGTCAAAGTATGTACGTTGAGTTTTTGTCAATCACTGGCAACAATTTCATGTTGCTGATGAAGCACTTTTGTCATGTAGTATTTTTCCTACTGTCCACTCTAGAAAGTTTGTCACAGTTTTGTTGCTAAATAATTTTAAAAAAACAACACTATCATTTAATCACCTGTTTCACGTACCCTGAGGTGCCGTCTCTGTGCTGGGCTTTTCCTTTGTGCTGGTTAGCTAGAAGATAAGCTCACTGACAGCAACGTTATTAGTTTAAGTTTCTTCAGTTGAGGCTTGGGAGGGTTTTAATGTTAAACTTTGGCAAAGGAAAAACAAAGGCTGAGTTCTTAGTTAACTTGATATTATTAGCTTGTTATGATTGCTTTAAGTCTGAGTTTTATACTGTGTCAAATATCATCCTGGCACCTGCTTATGCATATTCATAAGCTAAAAATGGTTGTCAACAATAAACTGTGATCTGAGACGGACGCTGCAAAATGCATGTCTCTGGAATTGTTCATTAGATGTGTTTGATATCTGTCAAGCTGAACAGACTCTTAACATATTTTATTCTGGTCCAAAGACTGAAATTCTTTCTGTGAGAGAAAAGGGCACTGGATTGATTCTAGAATATCACTGTAACACATAAAGCAAACTGTTGCTGAGAAGAAACGACCTGCTGAATGCACTTGCTGCTGTTAACAACTTTTTCCAGCTGTGTTCCAGCAGCATCTGTTCATATGAGGCTACACTCGGCACCAACACTGTTTTTTATTGCTGCACCCGGCCAGCACTGTTGCTACTAGTGATGGCCAAATGAAGCATCATGAAGCATTTTCTTTATTTCATGAGCCCACTAGATGGCGCTTTTTGTTCAACTAAAGATTGAAAGCACACTGAATTGCCATTCTTTGAGCCTCTCTCTTTAAACCATGAGCGCCATCTAGTGGGCTCAGAAAATAAAGAAAATGCTTCATGAGGCTTCATTTGGCCATCACTAGTTGCTACTAGTGCAATTTCACTAATTTCAGATGCATCCTAAGTCATTTCATTGAGGAACTCGGCCTGTCTGAAGGTCTTACAAATGTGTCGGACGTATTCCTCCCTTCCACATGAAACACTGGCAAAGTATTATAAATGCAACACTGTTCACATCCATGTTTACTAGAATGCAGTCTTCTGTTCCCTGCAGCATATCTTGGCGTCTTAGAAGACTAGTGTGAATCCATTGGCAAGAATGTGCACCACCCTACTTGAGTGCGTGCATGTGTATGTGCACAAGATAAACTAGAATGGCACAGACCGAGGCTAAAAGTCGAAGAATGCTCTAATACGACTGCTTTCTGTGTGAAGTTTGAGCAACTGCATGTGTGAGCTCGTCCAGAGGGTTACTGCTGAACGTGGATTGTGATATGAAGTCATTGTGTTTCTACTAATTAGCTATGGTTCATCACTTTTGAACATCTACTGGATTTTAACATGTATGGCATTTATCTCGCAATATTAAAAGTTCAAGTATTTGAATGTAATGGGTTCTTCCTTGGGCCATGTCTCACACACTCCCACCAAGTTTCATGACCAAGTTACCTGATGGGTAACCCGCAAAAATAAAAATATGTGTATATATATGAATCCATGGGTAAAAATGAACTAAACGTGGGCAAGCAGCAGCAAAAATATATTTTTTAGTTTTCAGAAAGAAGTGCAGTATAATCACTGTAATCGAGCTGCAGCTCCTTTTATTTTGAAAGTCAGTGCCACCAGTGTAACCTTTGACCCCGTGGTCACATTGGTCACCAACGTGGAGGACTCCAGCCAAGAAACTATGCAGCCCGAGGATGAGGTGGCAGCCTACATGGAGTTGGGATCCTTTGGAGGTTTGATGGTGGTGGAAGGAGCATGCTAACATGTTTCCTAACCTGGCAGTGATTGAATGTTTTCACCATCCAGTCAAAGAAACGTCCAACTCAAGAACGGAGAACCAGCTTCATGTGAGGGACTGGAGCCTGGGGGGGATTGATCAAGGGTGCAGGTTGGGTCATGGGACTTTTATTAACGGGTGAGGGAGGGTGCGGCTTTGACTACAGAGTTTTACGGGTATGGGCGGAAGCAGGTTTATAAAAATGGACCTGTGCAGGACTCTGGGGGAGATTACTGAGTAGACAGTGGGTATACTCTTCCTTTCATTCTGATGCCTTTTGGGCAAATAGGTGGGTATACTGGCCACGGCCAGAGAAAGAGGTGGGTATAGCCACGTGTACCCTCCACTACACCTCTGCCCTCAAACAGAAAAAAAACTTCACAGGGAACCATTAAGTGCTCAGGACTGCACTGTCTGAAGTTCAACATGGCCGCCCTCACTTCCATCTTCCACTAAGAGTTTCTCTGAATGCCACCCAGCAGACAGCAGAGAAAAACTCAACAGGGGCCTTTGTTGTAATCAGATTTATTTCTCCCACATATTCACCCTCTGTTAAGTTTGACGTAATCCAACAAAGATTTCCCCGCCAAGTTTTTAGTTCATGTGGGGAAGGTTTAAGTTTTTTTAAGTAACTAATCTGGATACAAGACGTCATGGGTAAATTAGGCTTACGAAAAAGTAATGCACTCACATTCGTACATATCCCACGTATTTTGAAAGGCTGTGATCACGTGACCAATGTGCTGATGGCAGTAAACAAAAAGCAGTCCTGAGTGCTTGTAAGGAGGCGGGTTAGGGCTGTGGATGCGTCACAAAAAAACAGACTTTCTCCCAGGACATTCCCCTGGAGCCCCATGTTAAGATTTGTGTGAACATTTAAGGTACGTTCTCACCATGTTTGTTTTTCTAAACCTAACCTAACCTAACGTTAATTACGTTACTGTACGTTGAGGAGGTATCGTCATTCATGGGGCACGAATTTATAGGACATCATTCTATGAGAATATGTTGGAACGTTTATATCCCAATATCTGCAAACATATCCTCATAGAACGGTTCACATGACATCCCATGAGTTAGTGCCCCACGATTGATGATACCTCCTTCACGTACAGTTACGTAACTAACATAAAGTTACTCTGGCTAGGTTTTGAAATCGAAACAACAAAAAGAAACAGTGTTAATTGATTACATGTTTTCCTGGCTATCTTCACAGCATGGTGTCAAAACAGAACGAAGGAAAACAAAGCACACACACTGACTGAGAGCTTTCTTATTAATTATCACCATAAATAGAATTTATTATACTAGATATTGCACAAAATTATCCCACAGATCATTTTCAGACCGACTCACTGGCTGCTACATTTCTATCTTTTCCACTTTTCTAGACAGTTTGAATTGTTGACAGGCCTAATAAGTTGATGACCGATCCAATGAGCCGTAGCGTCTATCAGTGTAACTCATTCCTCTTAACGTACCTAAAACCACCTCATCGGCTGTATGTGGGCTATGCTACAGTGTTTAGTGAAACTCCCCCCACACATGCACACACTTGCTCTCCCTTCGACCATCATCACTCTGTGACAGGCCTACGTTAACATGAAGACATCAGCTGTAAGTTCAAGTGTGACGTAATGGTATGAAGACATGACATGGACGACAGGGTTTGATCCCACACTTTGACACTTGAACCATTTCATCGATGTTATTGTCCAAAGTTGCACTGAGGACAGGGGTGTTGTCAGAATGCAGAAACTTAAATAATCTGCAGGTTATGGGGGCTGAGTTATACTGGTTTGTCCACACATGTTTTAAAGAATAAGTCTGGGCATGAGGCCTGTAACAGCTGAGGGCACGGATGTGTTGTTGTCTAGTCAGCGTAGATGATGAATCCAGAGAAGGTGCTGTACTTGTTGTTGTTGCCTCCGTGAGCTTTGCCTCCGTCGAGCTTGATGTAGACCTCGTCTCCTGGCTCCAGGTGCAGCACGGCGCTGTTACTGGCGTAGTCATAGTTCTGGTCCGCATCCTGGGCTATGGCGCTGGCACGTACCTGCAGGAAGGCACACAGACACACACACACACACAAAGTCATGCACGAATCATACATATTAAGACATATCTCAAAAGCACAGAACATGTGAAGCTCTGCTGGCATATTTATGACATCTCAGAGATCCAACAGGTGTATGTGTGTTACTGCACAGACTGACAGCTGAGCTATGCTTGGCAGTAGAATGTGGCTGTGCAGGTCAGACAGTGACCAGTAGTGATGGCCAGATGAAGCCTCATGAAGCATTTCTTTCCTTTCTGAGCCCACTAGATGGCGCTTTTTGTTCAACAAAAGGTTGAAAGCACTCTGAATTGCCATTCTTTGAGCCTCTCTCTTTAAACCATGAGCGCCATCTAGTGGGCTCAGAGAATAAAGAAAATGCTTCACGAGGCTTCATTTGGCCATCACTAGTGACCAGTCATCAGCCAGAGTGGACAGGCTGATTAATGTAGAGTGTGTTTACATGGACATGAAAAACTTGTTTCTGAAGGTGGCGGCAGCTCAGTCCATCAGGACCTGGTTTGGGAACCGGAGGGTCACCAGTTTAAGTCCTTGTCTGGACCAAATATGGAGTGTGGACTACTAGCTGGAGAGTTCGCCTCCTGGGTGCTGCCGAGGTGCCCTTGAGCTGCTCGGGGCACCTGTCCGTGGCAGCCCCCTCACTCTGACATCTCCCCATTTAATGTATATATAGGTCATGTTTGTGCATGTGTGTGTTTCCCCTCAGAGATTAATAAAGTATATCTTCTTCTTCATTATCCAGGGTAGGATCATATTTAAAATGTGGTGTTTACTGGGGAAAAAATCAATTTAGTATCTTAATATGATATTTTACAGGACAATATTGTATTGATACACAGACGCCAACACCAAAACAAACCAACAATGGGAGATGGGAGTGACAGGAAATATTAAACACTGTACTGGACATTTTAGCCCCGTCTCCACCAAACCCTTTCAGAACCAGCAGTAAGCCTTCAGACATGGTCCCTAGACCCTCGGTGTGTTCAGACAGTCCTCTTAAATGTGGGCGGGGTTGTTGTCACTCACTGCTCCGTCCAGCACTCGCTGTATTTCCTCATCAGCGGTGACACAGATGGAAGTCTGCACCTGGTTTATCGTCCACAGAACGAGGCTGCACGCCCACATTTTCACAACAAAATAGAACAGGCTGCAGTGAGAGTCTCTCTCCATGGGATATTTAAAAATAGCAGCTTTGTGCATTTAGTCCTTCTCAGGCAAGCTCAGGGGTTTAGTGTTGCTGTAGCCCACAGGAAGTGAGGATTAGAATATATGACCTTCACATAATCCGCTCCAAATTAATCTATATTTTTAAAGTCATTACTAAAAGTGTGTGTCATATAAAAACTAAAGTGATGGTCAAAGTTGTCACAGTGAAATTTAAGGTGTGCTGATGGATTCACGTCATCAACTCATGCATTGAGTAACATTACAAGTTAACGTTCCACCTTAAAAGTTGCCGGCAGTCGGCCCAGTGAATGAAGTTATTTTTTTCTCTTTCATTTTATAGTTGTAGTTTACTGATGTATGAACAGAGGTTACATAAAACCAGAGTGAGCGTCCTCTACTGACCAATCAGACTGCAGGGTTTCTAGCTCCACCTTTTAGTACCAGATCTGTGTGCTAGGTACCCCAACAGAGGGGGGACCAAACATGGGGACGCTAAGGAACGCTTCTGTTGCTACCATCCACAACTTTTACTGTGGGAACAGAAAAATGTGTACTGAACTGAACTGAACTGAACTGAACTGCTTGGTGGTAACAACCACACACACACTGAGCTCTTCCTGAAAGCAGTTACACTACTATATAACACCATCCTCTGCTCCCCTGTCCTACGTGGTGCTAGTGACAATGACAGGCTGACGCCAGTGTGGGGGATGAAGGATCATTACTAAAAGACAAAACTCTGTTTCCATATCGCTCCAGGAATTAGACACTTTTACTGCCCCCACTCTTTGTACTTCTTTAATGTCACTCTAGGCTACAATAAAAATACACCATGCACCGTGGTCCAAAATAATTGTTAGCAAATGTAATTCTAATCATAAATAAACTTAAAAAATTGACATTATTACTAGTTCTGCATGTAGTTTTTACAAAATGGTGCTGCTGTAACCCAGCAGAGGCTGTTGCATAACTGCTGTGGGTACAATAAATGTCAAACACTGTGCTGTCTCTATTTCATCACTTTAACAAAGTATTAAAAAGAGAAAACTAGAGTGTAATATGACTGTTGAGAAGCCTGCACCACTGTCAACTGTAATCTTTTTTGAAAAGTGTTAGTACATAATTAAAAAGTGACAGTGTATGAACCTTTCCTGTGCAATCCTCAATCATACCCTGGCTTTTTGCAATTACACTGAACAACACCAGCGTTGCTGAAGCCAAAGATAAAGGGCTGAACAGAACCAGAGGATCTGCAACTTCTGTGACGATAATGTGGAAATGAGTGTCATATTTAGTCTGAATGTTAGAATGAAGGCTTAATGAATTATGGAGGAAGGCAAAATATTATTCAAACTGCCCATCTATGTTTGAGCTACTTTTGTCACAGTCAGATATGTCAAGTGTTTTCAGAGTTTCAAAGTTCAAAAGTTTTTGGAAGAATGTCCTTCCTTTGTAGCAACATGCCGTGTGCCATTGTTTTGTTAATACTGTATGTGATGTTTGTGCTCAGTCTCATGTGATCATGGTCTTGAGTCACGTAAATATATAAATGAAACTAGAATTACTTCCCCACGGTTGTATGACTCCGCCCACCAGTCCACCCTGTGGTCGTATGACTCCGCCCACCAGTCCACCCTGTGGTTGTATGACTCCACCCACCAGTCCACCCTGTGGATGTATGACTCCGCCCACCAGTCCAGTGTCTCTGACAGTCTCCATCCATGTCAGTGAAAACATGGATGATTCACACAAAGAAGATCTATACAATCAGCACAGTTTCAAGATTAGAGTCACCAATTCAGTATCTGACCAAATGTCTCCCCTTCTGTTCCTGAGATATGACGTTAAAACATGATGATGTCACAGTCATGCTGACCTTTGACCTTTTGACCTTCATTATTTTATCCTGTTAGACATTTGTGTGAAATTTTGTCATAATTAGCGTTTGAATTCTTGAGTTATGGCGAAAAAAACCCCACCAAACCACCAAAATCAAATCAGTTCGTCCATGAGTCCATGTGGATGTTTGTGCCAAATTTGAGGATATCCCCTCAAGGTTTTCTTGAGATAGATAAGGTCACAATGACTTTGACCTTGGACAGACAAAATTTAATGAGTTCACCATAGAGTCCATGTGAACGTTTGTGCCAAATTTGAAGAAATTATCTTAAGGCATTCTTGAAATATCATAATCACAAGAATGGGATGAACGGACAGACGGACAGATGTATGGATGGATTTACAGACAACCTGAAAAGATGGTATGCCTCTGGCCACAGTTAATTGATTCCAAATATAAATTGGTCAATCACCCTGACGTCACTTAGCTGAAGCCACACATGCCTCAGGCATTTCCAAGTGTCTTTGGGCCGGCCTGTCGCTCCCAGGACCTCCTGGTTGCTCATGTCAATCAATGTCCTCCTCTGTCATGGCTCCACAGTGGTCGAATGAACTCTCAACAAAAGCGAGGACAGCAGAGTCACTGCACACCTTCCACCACAGGCTCAAAGAACTTTAACATTCAGACTCAATGTGTTTTAACCAACACACACCCTGTGTGCTAACTACTGAACTACAACTGTCTGAACACCTTCTTAGATGTATATTTTTAAAGCGTTGCTTATAATCTTTGATCAAATCTAGCTTTTGTTCAATAAGTTATGCATGTACTTATTGTATTCCAACGAGTTCTCTTCCCAGCACCTCAAATACTGATGTTCTGTCTGTGGACTTGATGTTCTAGGTATCGTCCTGCACCTGTTGCTGAAAGCGTGTCGACTTCAGCCTGTTACATACATTGTGTCTTTTCAAAATACACTTCTGTTTTCACAGGAAATGCAGTTTCTGCTCGTGAGATGCATACGGTCTTTTTCAAAATAAACTTACAACATCACGAAAACATCTCATGTTCATGTTTATTGCTTGTGCAACAAAAGCACGTGGTTCGGTTTAGAGAAAAACTTCATGGTTTGTCTCAACATTCGTACAGGAAGTGAACAGCGGGCTCCTGGGTGAGAGTCCAGGGTTGTTTTGGACTCATCCACCACCCCTCCTGCTCGCCCCACAGGGACTTTCCAGCTCCTTATATTACATCGTTTCCGCCAGTGTTTCAAACTGATGCTGTCCAGCGGCTTATTGATACTGCCATGACAGGTGCCATTTGGCAGCGTATCATTACACCACAAAAGGACTGACGCTGTCCGGTGGCACATCAGTTGCTGTGAAAGGTGACTTTTGACATTCACACAGCAAGTGAACGTTGGGCCCCCAGATGAAAGTCCGGGGTTACTGGACCCATCCAATTCCCCTCCCACTAACCCTACTGGACTTTCCAGCTCCTTATGTTATCATACCGCCATGAAAGGTGCATTTTGTGACAATTTCTTTTTTTCCAAAATCACTGGAACATGGTGATATCTGAGGACTTGGGAATGAGAACAGGCTGTGTATCCATAGGCACTGTGTCTCTTTTTATTTTCTATACTGATGATATGCAGATGTACCTGCCAACCCCACAGTCCCTGGAATGCTATTTTTCTGATTGTCAAAAGATTTTCTTCAGCTGAACTCAAACAATACAGAGATCTCTTTCACTGGGTCAACAAACTGTGCCTTTGGTAGGTCTCCCTAATGGATAATATCAAGCCTGCTGCAGGGAATCTTGTCTGGTTTGACAGTAATTTAGGTTATGAGCAACACACCATAAAGCTTTTGCAATCATGTTTTCATCATCTTAGAGGTATTTAAAAAATTGGATCCATCTTAACATAGAACTCAAACACAGAGACCATTTCACACACCTTCATCTC